TTAGGGTTAGATAGTTACTGTTAAACTGGTATAGGTGTGACTGGTTAGTTCCGGGTATGGATTAGGGATTACACCAGTCCAGAAATCACCCACAAATACACCCCATTTAAACACAAGACTTGCCCTCATCTATCATGAACCAGAGTGCGCCATTAATCTCAAATGTTTATTTAATCTATCATATGTTTACACGTGCTGACACAGAAGCACACGTGACATTTCAGAAAACACACAAATGCTCAATTGCGCCAGACATCATGACACAAATCTACCATCATTTCACAACAAGAGCAGAAAGAAGCAACCGGTCGCCATTGCCAGACCCCTCCTACATATGAAACCGTCATCACCACGACAGCAGCTCATTACTAATGGATCCTTCAAAAAAAAAAAAATTCCGCCCAGAATTTCCAGTGCATCCCATAGTGTGTATGGGTTTGTTTAGAGTGCACTGCGACAGTTTTCTATGACAGCTCTGTTACTTTGTGGCCATTTAGCCTATTGGTACGATCAGTAATTCCTTCTGTCCAAATGTTCTGTTATTAATAATTTATTATAATTCTGAACAAAGTGAAATGTTGGCCATCTCGACAGTTATAAAGGATATTAAACAATATAAAAAAGTAACATCTCCCGAATGCTAACGGGTTGAGTAACAGCCTAACAAGACTAACTTACCATTTACTGCACAACCAAACTTTCCGTTACTTTTCAATGGAAACTACAGCGTGATACAGTTTTAGCTTCTGTGTAATGCAGTTATACAAAGAAACGGGACAGTTGAGGCCTCTCATATACACTCTTAAAAATAAAGGTGCTTCAAAAGGTTCTTCAAGCGATGCCATAGAAGAACCCTTTTTGGTTCCACAAAGAACCATTCAGTCAAAGACCCATCTCTTTCTTCCCTTTTTATAATCTGAAGAACCTTCTTTCACCACAAAGAACCCTTTGTGAAACAGAAAGGTTCTTCAGATGTTAAAGGTTCTTTATGGAACCATTTAGACAAAAAGGTTCTTCTATGGCATCGTGAAGCACCTTTATTTTTAAGAGTGTAAGTGTTGGGGAAAGTTACTTTTAAAAGTAATGCATTACAATATTGCGTTACTCCATAAAAAAGTAACTAATTACGTTACTTAGTTACCTTTTATGGAAAGTAATGCGTTACGTTACTTTTGCGTTACTTTTTAAATCTGGACAGGGCTTGCTCGTTTGTTTTTAAAATAAAAAAGTTCTATTTTTGGCAAATATAAGCCTTTTCACACCAAAAGTGAAATGAATACGCCTCAGGCTGAAGGAAAAGTAAATTTACGTCCGTACAGTAGAATACAGAAGAAGAAATTTCAACACACTTCAGCAATAAACAAAGACACACAAATGTTTGTCTAGAGTAATTTGTGCTTATTAGTACGGTTGAACTGGATCATCGGAGGTCAGAAGCAAATAGAATGGGATTAAATACATAAAGGATATTTGTGTTGTTTAACATTTAATTATTGCAGGTTCGCTTCATATTCTGAGTTGCATTATTTTTATTCATTTTGAGGAATACTGAATCTGTTGTTTTTCGTTGTTGTTGTTTTGTGAGTGAGATGAATTAATGCATATTCATATTTATTTTAAACGACATCTTCTGATTTCTCTCAACATGGGGACAGGAGAGATTTATTCAATCAATAAATTGGTCAAAAACAAAAAAAAGTAACTTGCGTTACTTATTTGACAAAGTAACTCAGATATTCTCTTGTAAATGAAAAAGTAATGCGTTACTTTACTAGTAACTAGTTTACTAGTAATCAGATTACGTAACTCGCGTTACTTGTACTGCGTTACCCCCAACACTGCTCATATATGTTTAATTGATTCTTACCGAGCAGCAGGAGTTTGACCTCTCTGGCCGCTTTCTCTCCATCATCTCTCAGGTTTCTGTCGATCATTTTACTCCTCTCCACCGCCGCCTTATCCTCCGTGCTTAACGTACAGCCCATCCTCGCGACGATCCGAACCCTTTCAATCAACATGCACCAGCTCTCTCTCCGGAAAACCACACGCCCTTCTTTAAAAAAGAAAACCAAGAGCCGAGCGCAAAAGGGGGTCTTGAAAATCAGAAGACGGAGGATAAGGTCTGGCTCTTGCCTTGTATGATCGAGACTGTTCCTTTAGCCGCCGTTATTTCACCCTTCAAAGGGATGAGAAAGGGTCCGTAGACGCGTAGCGATCCGTGCCCCGGCGCGTCAGTCTTTCACGGGCTCGCGCTGCTTCCTGTTCGCATGCATGCAGGCGCGTTCACGTGTGTGCGAGGCGGGGACGCGCGCTTTGCCTCAGCATCAGCAGTAAAGGAAATAAATGATGGAGGGCGGTGGTGGAGGAAATACTATTTTCACTCATTTGAAATTAAATCAATCAATCAATCGTTTTTAAAGCATATATTCCCAGTTCTTTTCTTGGGTCAGTTTCTAATATTGTGTTTCCTTAGAAAGTAGATTTTTCGTTAGATATGCCATATTCAAAATTGCATTCAATTATAATATTATATAATATATTAATATTGTACACTGTTAAAAAAAATGGATATTGGTGTTGCTGTAAGAAGTTTTGCTGGTGGAACCTAATCAGTCATGCAACCTAATTAGTTATGTTAAATTTTTTTTGTCAGCAGTTAAAGGGATAGTTCACCCACAAATGAAAAGTCTGTCATCATTTACTCACCTTCAAGTTGTTTCAAACCAGTATGAGTTTCTTTCTTCTGTTGAAGATATCCACCTTTTTCTTCAACGCGGAAGTAAAGCCTATGGGTGAGACTTCCGGTTCATTAGCCGCTATAGGTAAATAACGAGGAGAATAACAACGTGCAGTAAACGGTAAAACTGTTTGGACTACAAACCAGTGTGTTCATAATTTCAGATAATACATTAAAATAATACGATAAGACACACCAACTTTCAATATCAAGCAGCAAAACGAACTGTTTTGCTCAGCTAAAAATAGCTGGACGGAGTGGACGCAGATGAAACCGGAAGCCATACCCATATATTTTCCAAATGGCCGCGCCCATTTTTACGACAAGAAAAAGGTGGATAGTATAGAGGATATCTTCAAGAATGTTGCTAACCAGTTGACGATAGCCATTGACATCCATATTATTGGGGACAAAATACAATGGAAGTCAATGGCTACTGTCAACTGTTTAAATGTAATTAATGTAACTGATTCAACCTAACTGTGTACTTTTTAAATTAATAAAAAAAAAATTAATTGCTCTTTAAGGTAACAACTGCACATGTTCACTTTATGCATGTTCACATATTTGTTTACTGGATATACTATTTTCTATTCTATTCTATTGTCATCTCAGCATCCCACTTGTGTTATGGGTTTGTCCTAGACCCGTCACAGATGCCAGTGTCACAACAGACCATATGTTCCAAGGTCAAATGAACTGTGACCACACCTTACTGCAACATCAACACTGCTGACAATCCTGCGTAGCTTGCAGAAAGAGCTTCAAAAATCATTACACTATCACTCCTAGGCAGAGAGGATCAGCCTTTTAATATGTGAGCATGACTGTGAGGTTAAAGCAGATACATTAGGCAGTGACCTCAGACCTTACAGTTGCTTTGGGCTGCTAGGAAAACGCATCTGCTTTGAGTGAGCATTTGCATTGGATCTCAAAGGGTTACAACACTGTAACCACACATTTACATATCACATGAGGGTGTCACAGCTTGTATGCAAAGTATGTGACTGTCTGCAACAGTTCTACAGTTCAGCAAGGACATGTCACAAATGGAACCGAACATAACAAACTTTACATTTTTGGCAGCTTGTGTCAATTTAGCCAGCATATGCTACAATATACCACATTTTTGAGTAAAATCCTGTGAATTTTAGTTTTTCGTTTTCATTTTGTCTCTCATAAATAAAAGACTATCAAAACAATGTTTTACAGAAATACATTAACACTTTACAATAAGCTTTCATTTGTTGTTATTACACTAGTTAACATGAACTAACAATGAACAGTACTTCTACAGCATTTATTAATCTTAGGTCGTGTAAATTTCAGCATTTAATAATAAATTTTTTAAAACTATTTTTTTTATTTTTACATCAATGCACTGTGAACGAACATGAACACAAAATATACAGTTGTATCTTTATTAGCTAACATTATCAAATATTAATAAATGTTTCACAAATATTAACTGACAACATTAACAAATGAGATAACTTTTTATTGGTTTACTATTTGATGGGTCCATTATCTTAGCTACCTCCACAGCTGCTTGGAAATATATTATTATTATTTTAAATGTCAGGAAAGGAACATGTTTGACATATTTATTGCACAATATGAAGTGCTCGATTCTGATCGGTCAGTTGGGGCATTCAGTGGTCTGATATTCTATTCCATTTTCTATTGTAATTTTTTTTTTCTTCCCCCTCACATGGTTGTTTGGAATGCTTGATTATGATTGGTCAGTTGGAGTATTCACTGATCTGATTATCTATTCTGTTCTGTTCAATTGTATCCTAAATACACACACACATAGATACACCCACACATTCTTACATATAGATATAAGACTGTGTGAAATGCTTGGTTCTGATTGGTTAATTGCAGCTTGTAGCGATCTGATATTCTGTTCTATGAAATGTTTTTTTTTCTGTTTCTTTCTATTTTGTATTAAATTATTCTGTTAGATATAACATAATGTACAAAAGTCAATTAAAAGCAACATTTCATTAAAAAAAATATAGGCTATTAGATCATGTTAGAATCTTTTCTTTTCTCGAGTCTCCCAAGTCTTTTCGAAGTCGATTAGATATTTCAAAGTCACTCTCGAGTCTTGTGTTAAACCTCAGCTCGCGTCTGAGAGCGACTTTGGCCTTGGCTTATGAATGCTCCCCGCCCAGCAGCGCGTTATCTCGCTGAGATAACTTCGTCTTAACGAGGGTCTCCGGGTGTGATGCGCAGCAATCCAGTCCTAAACCTCCTCCTCTGCAACCTTCGATCGCTGGAACTTACATAATTCCCAGGAAGACCTCATGCGCGCAGCTGACGCGGCGCCGGTCAGTGTTGGTCCAGGCTGCTGCTCGCCATCATGACCTGCTGTGATCTGAAATGCGGGCTCATCACAGGGACCGTGCTGGGAGCCCTGATCGCCGTGCTGGGCGGGATTCTCATCCCTGTGGGCAACATGTTCATTGAAAACACCGTGCATAATGTAAGTCGTCGTCTTTTCATATCAATATTCGGCGCACATGCGTTTGCAGATCCTCCAGAAAGGCATGTACAGTATGTACATGATGAAGTTCCATTGGAGAAATATTCTGAATAATTTAGGAACAGCCAATCTAGGGTAGGCTACGACGTACTATCAATGATGTATGAGATTAAATAAAAAGGGGTTTATGGGTCAAGGGCATTTTTCATAAATGTATGGTTGGGGTTTTATTGATTGATTTGAATTTGACATGTTTTGCTCTTTAATCAACTGTTTTACTGTTTAAAGTTCGCTGAAAAGCCATGCATTTTACATAAAATATGTTGTGTATGTTAGATAGTATTTTATATTTAATGCATTTAAACAGCAGGTTCTCTACTTACCTCATGGTGTCAAGGTCAATGACTGTGTGTGTCTATATTTAGGCAAAATAGAAAAGGAAAAAAGCATTGGAAATGTTCTGTAGCATTATTGTAGACTTAAAGTTGTTTGCCTATACCGAAACTGACTGAAAATAACACCATGTCGAGAAATATTCACTGGACTGTGACAACTTGCCCCGGGCCTGCCACATTTTGAATTGTAGACACAATGTAGTATAAAAAGTTTATAGAGTATCTGACCCTAAGTATGTTTTGTGTCTCTAAAGGAAACCGTGTTGGAAAACGGAACTTTAGCATTTGACACCTGGACGTCGGTAGACATTGCAATATACAGGCAGTTTTGGCTGTTTGACGTGCAGAACCCTGATGATGTTGTAGCTCAAGGGGCCAAACCTGTGCTGGTGCAGAAAGGACCATACACGTACAGGTAAGACTTGCTATATAAATAGATTTTCCATCAGTACTCATGTAAACAAACCATTCTTCTTTATCTCTCAAAGGTAGAGAAAATAAAATCGAGCAAATTCACTCTTTGAGCTTTATCATTTACTCAAGAGCATCCATATCTCTTGAGCTACCTGAAATAAAGCAGAAAGAATCCCAAAGCATCAGCCGTTTGCAAGTATAGACCATTTTTACTTACTTCTGAGACTTGTGCTTAAAAATAGACAATATGAACACAAGCACTTCAAGCTTGTTCAAAAGTTTGAACAAGCTGTTGTCATTTAATCGTTGTATGTTGAGGTAAGACTTGCTATATAAATAGATTTTCCATCAGTACTCATGTAAACAAACCATTCTTCTTTATCTCTCAAAGGTAGAGAAAATAAAATCGAGCAAATTCACTCTTTGAGCTTTATCATTTACTCAAGAGCATCCATATCTCTTGAGCTACCTGAAATAAAGCAGAAAGAATCCCAAAGCATCAGCCGTTTGCAAGTATAGACCATTTTTACCTACTTCTGAGACTTGTGCTTAAAAATAGACAATATGAACACAAGCACTTCAAGCTTGTTCAAAAGTCAAAATCTGTTGTCATTTAATCGTTGTATGTTGATAAGCACAAATGTATCTGATGGGATGATGCTTATCTAATTAAGGAAAATGTTACATTCCATCCTTATGTCTGTTTTGTTCTAAAGTGATATAATTATCTGTTTACTGAAATGGGAGTACTTTTGCATGTTTTATTTATTTATTTTTGGTCTTTTATCTATTTTTGTTAATTACTATTTTTATTATATATGAATAAAAATGCACAAAAGCAGTCTTAAGTCGCTGGGGTATATTTGTAGCAATAGCCAAAAATACATTGTATGGGTCAAAATTATTAGGATATTAAGTAAAGATCATGTTCCATGAAGATATTTTGTAAATTTCCTACTGTAAATATATCAACTTAATTTTTGATTAGTAATATGCATTGCTAAGGACTTCATTTGGACAACTTTAAAGGCGATTTTCTCAATATTTAGATTTTTTTGCACCCTCAGATTTCAGATTTTCAAATAATTGTATCTCGACCAAATATTGTCCTATCCTAACAAACCACACATCAATGGAAGGATTATTTATTCAGCTTTCAGATGATGTATAAATCTCAATTTTGAAAAATTGACACTTAAGACTGGTTTTGTGGTCCAGGGTCACATGTATATGTATGTATATG